TTCAAACAATCAAATGGTTCCTCCTATCATTTTTTTAAAATTTAAATAGGCTGAAATGTACCGTGGTATATATACAAGTGAATATTTCATTTTCTTATAAACTACATACACGTAAATTATAGAAAAATGTGTCAAGAAATTGTTCCTTAAAGACTTTACTTAGATATGTTGATAAGGATACACTCCTTTTAACAAGTTACCCTATGGGTAAGCGATAAGTTTATGGTCTTACAACACTTAAGTTTTTCACTAAAAAAATAAATCTTTTAACATTCATGATATTTTAATATTGTAAATACTTAGGACTCTTTTAAGATTCCTTATGGAGGTGAAAAGTAGTGTTTTTAGATCTACTTTTGGGTATTTAAACTGAACGATGTTGGAAATATTTAAGGAAACAATGAGGAAAAAGGGTGTAATAGGCAAATATTACGAGAATGTCACATTTTCTTTTTTTATAAATATAATTGCACCAAAGTACAGTCAGTGTTCATAGTAATTGTTTACTATACATAAAATGTTAGAACAGAATAAAGCAGTCATACTATGCCCAGTAGCAGCAGTGTATTTTAAGTCACGGATTTCAGAACTGACATATCGCACGACAAAAATGTAGTAATTAAAGTTTTGGCCAGCCAAGGATACTCCATATGAAAAATTGTGGTTAAGCTTCTTGGGTTAAGCTATATGCAAGATTCTGAAAAAGATGTGTGAAACTGGCAATGCTGATAATAGAGGTAAAAAAAAATTAAACTCTACAAGAGTAATATTAAGTATCTCGGGTTATGTTATTTATGAAACAGACGAAGGCCAAGGACAGATCTTATCATCGACCTCGATGAGAAACATTAACAAATTAAAGTATACATTAATGTGAAGTGGTTTTAATGGACAGCTACACCAGAGAAAAGGTAACTAAATTGTTAAAATGGACATCGGACCACAAAGAGCGAAATGAACAATTTTGAATGTCTTTGATTGTTGCCGAAGAATTTCAACTTTTATTTATATGTTAAGGTCACACATCTCCAAATTTGTTCATTTCGCTCTTAGTGGCTCGATGTCCATTTCAATCGTTTCGTTACCTCTTCTCTGGCGTGATTTTTATAGAAGAATAAACGTAAATGTTTTGTGCCAATGTATGACATCTAGGGTGAGGTAAGATTAAGAATCAGTAAAAGTTTTGGGCCAACGTATAACATCTATAGTGAAGTATGATGAAGAATCAGTAAAAGTTTTGGACCAATGTATAACATCTACAGTGAGATAAGATGAAGAATCAGTAAAAGTTTTGGACCAATGTATAAAATGTACAGTGAGGTATGATGAAGAATCAGTAAAAGTTTTGGACCAATGTATAAAATGTACAGTGAGGTATGATGAAGAATCAGTAAAAGTTTTGGACCAATGTATAACATCTACAGTGAGATAAGATGAAGAATCAGTAAAAGTTTTGGACCAATGTATAACATGTATAGTGAGATATGATGAAGGATCAGTAAAAGTTTTGGGCCAATGTATAACATCTACAGTGAGATAAGCTGAAGGATCAGTAAAAGTTTTGGACTGCATGTCAGATAAATGTGTCGGCAATCTACACAAAACTGACTGTGCTCTTACCTAACTGATGTGAGAATCATACAGAATATATAGAACAAATTCCACAACTACATATTGATAAACTGTACAAATGCCACAACTACACATTGATAAACTGTACAAATTCCACAGCCACACATTGATAAACTATTCAAATTCCACAGC